CTGTATGAGTATATTAGATTACTTTTGAAACAATGCTGCAGACTTTGAGACAGCGTCCTAAGGGTCACTAGACACTTTGAAGTCAGACATTGGACCTCAGCCTTGAAGGGAGAACTCTGATTCTGGATCCATTTTTCTCTCCAGCTTGCAAGTCCAGCTGTTTCTGAGTTTCCAGCATAGAAAGCCCCTAAAGGAAGCCAACTAGTATGTGGAGAAGCTCAGTTCTGTGAGATTCCAAGCCTTGCTCTCCCCAACTCTCCACCATATCGCTAAACCAGGGGGGAAATTTAGACCACATCTTGGCTTCTCCCAATCTTCTTTTCCCCCCTACCTTGCTTGCGATAGAAGAAAAACCATCTGTGGAGTCCCTAGTGCTCTTTGAGCTTGTTTGCTTGCAGACATTTCATTACCCAACTCTACCAAGTTTGAAATACCCAACTCTTTATCCGACTCTACCAAGTCGGAACTACCAAGGAGAAAACCACACCTCCATCAACATTGGCAGGGCAAGCTACTGTATATAAACAGGGAGAAAACCCCACCCTCACTAGTACAGATGATGTTACCTAGTCAGGTAATGAAATGTCTGCAAGCAAACAACCAAACTCAGAGAGCACCAAGGACTTCACAGTACAACCCTGAGCTACATATATTCTGTTCTATTGGAAACACTATCTAGGACATCTCCCCTACTTCATTTCTCCTCTGCTAAGATTCAGCCACTAGGGTAGTGGATATTTTGGAGTGTTTTCACAATATAATAAGAATGCTCTGGCAATTTTCATACACTGTGGCAGAATATTTTTGTCAACTTAATACTGGGGCTTTGATTTGTCAGGGTTGCAGCTCAAAAATGTATCAATCTGAAGAAAAAGCCTCATAAATGAAATTTAGTCTCCCAGAAGAGTTTAAATGCTGCATATAAATATGGCTTAAGCTAGTTCTCTCAGAACATTTTTCTCTGTGACCTGGTCTTCCCTGGACAAAAACTGACAGATCAGAAACATGATCAGTAGCAATAATTGTGACCGCAGGATAATTTTCTAGTTGCTACAATAAGAGGAATTCTTGCTGTTATTTATAGATATAGAAATATAATCTTCAGTTTATTCTCAAGAATTTTACTTTTTCATGCTTTACGAACTTTCAATCCATGTTCTATTATTGGAAAATAGATGAGATCCTCCCCCCCCTCCCTCTCCCTCTCCCTCTCCCTCTCCCTCTTTCTTTCTTTCTTTCTTTCTTTCTTTCTTTCTTTCTTTCTTTCTTTCTTTC